GTCTTCGTCCTCCCCTCCTCCCCGTCGTCTTCGTCCTCCCCTCCTCCCCGTCGTCGTCCTCCTCCCCTCCTCCCCGCCGTCGTCCTCCTCCCCTCCTCCCCATCGTCCTTTCTGTCTTCGTCTAATCCTCCTCCTCCTCCTCCTCCTCGTCCACTCCACTCTCCTTCATCGTTCTCCCCTTCCTCTCCTTCTCTGCCGCCACATCCACTCCCCCCCCTCCTCCTCCTCCTCCTCCTTTTTTTCTTTTTTCTTTTTTTGTTCCTTTAAAATTTGGACCATTTCTCGATTCATGCGTGCCATACTTGCGTAGGGGCCATATATCTTTCGAATATATATCGATTTAGAAGAGGAGGGGGGGGCACTTCCCCCCCTCCTCCTCCTCCTCCCCTCCTCCCCGTCGTCTTCGTCCTCCTCCCCTCCTCCCCGTCGTCTTCGTCCTCCCCTCCTCCCCGTCGTCTTCGTCCTCCCCTCCTCCCCGTCGTCGTCCTCCTCCCCTCCTCCCAATCGTCGTCCTCCTCCCCTCCTCCCCTCCTCCCCGTCATCTTCGTCCTCCCCTCCTCCCCGTCGTCGTCCTCCTCCCCTCCTTCCCGCCGTCGTCCTCCTCCCTTCCTCCCCATCGTCCTTTCTGTCTTCGTCTAATCCTCCTCCTCCTCCTCCTCCTCGTCCACTCCACTCTCCTTCGTCGTTCTCCCCCTCCTCTCCTTCTCTGCCGCCACGTCCACTCCCCCCCCTCCTCCTCCTCCTCCTCCTGGTTTTTTTTTTTTTTTTTCCCATTAAAATTTGGACCATTTCTCGATTCATGCGTGCCATACTTGCGTAGGGGTCATATATCTTTCAAATATATACCGATTTATGCGTGTCGTCCTTGCGCAGAGGCCATGCTAATCTTCTTTCTCTGTATCGTTCCGATTTTAACGAATGTCCCGACGAACATTCGTTAAAATTGAGCCACTTCTCGATTTATGCTTGTCATAACTGTCATGGTATCCTTGCTATTCTTTTTTTTTTTTTTTTTAAATGCAAAGATCGACTAACACCCCCCCCCCCC